GAGAGAGAGAGAGAGAGAGAGAGAGAGAGAGAGAGAGAGAGAGAGAGAGAAATGCTGAGCTTGATGTACCGCACATGAAAGACAACGCACGTATAATTTCTGATTATGTGCCGCTCTCTGAGGTTATACCATAAACCTACATCTACGTACATCTATACAAGAAATACGCACGCGCATGTGTGTGTGTGTGCGTGCGTGCGTGCGCGTGCGTGTGTGTGTGCTTGCGTGTGTGCGTGTGTGCGTATGTAAAAACACGTGATTGTATATATCTATGTATGTACATGTATTTGTTTACATAAGTATTTTAGACGGCAACTATCAATAGTAAATTGACGCTGCGTTCAGCAAAACTGCGTCGCACTAGAAATTACGTTGCAATCGGCACCGAAACCGGAACCGGAACTTCGCTTGTTACAAGTTCTCTCTCTAACGCCACGTACGAGTGTGGTTCCCCATGGGCTTCCTCACTGATCTGTAAATAACCAGAGCATATAAATCAGATTTTTATGTTGATTTATATGCTCTGATATAACGTACGTTATATATTCAGTGGGTTCTCTCTCTGGTTCCCTCTACACTGCCCTGGGCAACTAACACGCTAGCGCCACCTAGTAGCCACTTCTATGTTCTATCAGAAATTGTTCGACAATGTTCGGAGCTCACTCTTTCTAAGAAAACTAGGAGTTTTCCTATCCTATTATATATATATAATATAATATATAAATTTATTTATATATATATAAATAAATAAATAAATAAATAAATATATATATATATATATATATATATATACATATATATATTCACCTTTGACAAATATACGCATTTCCTGGCCCCTTAATACGATTACCTTAATTACTGCCTACCTTTATTTAAAAAAATTATAAGAACACCTTGGTTATACCATGCATGGTAAAACTCACTTGATAGCATTTTAACATAATTTTTCGGATGGGAATTAAGTACGGTATCCCGTTGTCAATTTTCTAGGTGGCGGCTTTGAAACCAAAAAACGCCCCGTACGTTATCTTTTGCGTAAATCGCGAATTAAAAAACTTTCTCCGCATCCCGCACGCATTTTCTACAATAAACACTGTTTTCCCCGGTATGGAAGTTCCCTCCGCCCTCATACGAGTATTCAGGTGTAGGCCTTCGGGGCAACGCAAGGTGGGGTAGGGTGGGGGTTATAAACACCAGCAACGAAAGGTTATATGGCAGCAGCTCGTTTTAGTAATTAATTTTCAGACGAAAAATCTGTTGTTTCTAATGACCACAAAGTTAAGCACAGAAAGTTCAGGGGAAAAACAAGTAAAAAGGTGGAATTGAAATGATGTTAATTGACTGCCTCATATCCCTTTATCGCAATAGTGGTGGCATCTTGAGATAATCAAGAGCTAATAAACACCTTACTAGGGAGGGAGAGCGAGAGAGATAGAGAGAGAGAGAGAGAGAGAGAGAGAGAGAGAGAGAGAGAGAGAGAGAGAGAGAGAGAGAGAAGAGAGAGAGAGAGAGAGAGAGAGAGAGAGAGAGAGAGAGAGAGAGAGAGAGAGAGAGAGAGAAGAGAGAGAGAGAGAGAGAGAGAGAGAGAGAGAGAGAGTGAGAGAGAGAGAGAGAGAGAGAGAAGAGAGAGAGAGAGAGAGAGAGAGAGAGAGAGTGAGAGAGAGAGAGAGAGAGAGAGAGAGAGAAGAGAGAGAGAGAGAGAGAGAGAGAGAGAGAGAGAGAGAGAGAGAGAGAGAGAGAGAGAGAGAAGAGAGAGAGAGAGAGAGAGAGAGAGAGAGAGAGAGAGAGAGAGAGA